TACCAATAGGTACCCAATACAACGTTTGCACTGCAGTTATGATGATTTATTTTTATAAATTGTACCTATTCCTTTTTTTGTTTTAATGTGATTTTTTTGATCACACTCTATTACTAAAATTTGAAAAAAACTCTTTGTGTAATAGAACTCAATAGCCGTGTGGTGGTGGCATAAGATAATCTGTCGCCCATTTCTTCCCGTGGTTGTCGTAAGTAGCGACTAATGGGACATGTCAGAAAAATCATATGGCTTTCGATATATTTCGGGATAATCATGTCGTTTAAGTCAGACTTAGGTAAAGAAACTCCGATCGCGACTGGCAACAGCGTCAAAGATGCAAGATAATCCACTTACCAGGCGGAATGGATTTGCCAGTCTTTTGGCAAAAACCTACCGCGAACAAAGTTTTCGAAACGAAACTTCTTTATCGACGTAGTGGAGAAATGTAGTATGGTATTAAAAATAAAAAGCCGGCCAAGTGCGAGTCGGACTCGCGCATGAAGAGGTCCGTACTGTCGTAAAACACGTTCCTAGTAGGGTAGCCCCCTGTAATTTTTAATTTATATTTATTTGTCGTTATAGCGGTAACAGATGTGTGAACATTTCAACTGTCTATCTATTACAGATCATCAGATACCGCCCGCTGAAAGACAGACGGACGGACGGACGAACGGAAGGCGGAGCCTTAGTAATAAGGTCCCGTTGGTTACCCTTTGGATACGGAACCATAAAAAACGTCACGCTTTCTTGTAACGTTTCACCAACGGGGTTGCATGAGTATACTATTACCTACTTATGTAAAATATAAAATAAAAGAAGAATGACAGGTCGTAAAGAAGTTTCACTTCGTACGTGAGTACACAATCACAATTACAGTTTTTTTTCCACAATGGCTGTAAACTATCTACTGTCTATAAAGTGCGGCCATATGGCCGATGTATTATCACTGTAAAAACTTTTACTGTCTATTAAGCAGACTAGTACTACTGTCCTTTTAGTGACAGAGCGTGAAAGTTAAGGTTGTCGAGAGAGAAGTAATAAAGTATGAACTAATTGTTGATTAAAAAAGAAAATTTAAGAGCGACCTCTATGCCCACTCATGCACACGACGAAACAAAGTACCTTATGCAACTGACAACCTACTTATTTAATTTTCTTTTGGAATTTGGAGGAAAAACCTCGTAATGAAGCAAACGTCCAACCGTTCATTAAATGCCGACACAGATTGGTCACTGCGAACTCATCACATGGAGCGAGTGAAGCTCCGGTAAAATAAAACATGTTTAAATTAACATGCTGATAATCGGACGTTTATTTTTCGGACAGTAACTGCTCCACAGACTCCATACTGTCTACCACCTACTACGCCCATGAAAACTATGCTTTACACTTTAACTTTGCTGAAATGACAAAAATTTTAGATTGAAAGTGTCTGAAATTATTAGAAACTATATAAATTTATCATATTTATCATTCATAATAAAAAAAAAATAATATACATTAGGTATAAAATTCGGTGATGTGTTAAAATCTATTAACAAAAATTTCCGAATATTTTGTGAGTCAAAATCAATTTAACCGCGCGAGCCTTGGGGGATGATGGCGACAGCTGTGGAGCACGTGGAAGGGCAGCTGCGTAACAACACCCGCGCACGAGCAAGCTGCGTCAACACCTGCCTCGCCAAACTTTGTATAAAACGTTTTTTGTATTCGTCAAACCTATACACATTAGATTAACAGCTGTTCTCGATTATCTCGATGATATCCGAACTGCGACCGAGACACAAGCCTGCAAATGAAAGGTAAGGAAAATACTCATTAGTAGGCTTTGTATAACTTATTAGAGCACATAATGTGTACATTATAATACTTCCTACGCAGTTGATAACTTTCCAACAGCAATCAGAAGTTGTCCACGAGGTGGAAAAACAGCTAAGAGGACAACATAATCGGGTGTTACAACAATTGAGTTGTAACACCCGTTTATGTTAACAGCTACAATAAAAAAAAACCCCTTTGTCGTATCTACCATTATTAACAGTGGTAGAGCCACGCGGCAGCTTTTGCTGTCGCACGGATGGGCCGGCTCGAACCGGGGTAGTACCATGACCTCACAGAAAACCAGCGTGAAGTAGAGGTTTACCTCTGCGTTTCGCTTGGTGAGTGCAGGTGGCCGGAGGCCCTTTTTACTGGAAATGAGGCATTCCATCTTAGTCCTCACGGGTGACAACGCATCTACATTTTGATTTGTAACAAAGGGTAGATGTAGATGTCTATGGGCTGCAGCAACCACTTACCATCAGGTGGACTGTGTGCTCGTTTGTCCCCTTGTCCTATAAAAAAAATCTCCTCAGTTTCAAGGCACTCCCCTCTTGTTGCCTCAGCCAGTATCGGTATCCTTGATGTCGACATATCGAGTGAGTGCAGTTTCGTGGTCACTTGGAAGGGAAGGCCAAATTGGCCTCTAAAAAGCATGGCGTGCTCAGCAGAGCGGGACAGTATTTCATGCCAGCACACCGCTTGCAACTCTACAAGGCGCAGGTTCGGCCTCACATGGAATACTGTTCCCATCTCTGGGCAGGGGCTCCCCAGTGCCAGCTCTTTCCACTTGACCGCATCCAGCGTAGAGCGATTTTAATCGTCGTCAACCGAGTTCTTTCCGATTTGCTTGACTCACGCACTGCGTAGAGATGTTGCATCTCTTTGCGTATTTTATACGCATCTATCACGGGGAGTGATCTGAGGATTTGTTCAGATTAATTCCAGCCGCTCAATTTCACCATCGCACATCGCGACAAAACTCGCGATACCATCCATATCATCTGGATGATTGGCGGTCCACCACTGTGCGATTTAGAAGAAGTTTTCTCGCTCGCACAACTTCCTTGTGAAATCGATTACCACCACCAGCGATTTTTCCGGACCGATACGACTTAGGGAACTTCAAGAAAATAGCCTACTCCTTTTTAAAATGCCGGCAACGCATCTGCAATTCCCCTGGTGTTGCAGTTGTTCATGGGCGGCGGTAGTCACTTACCATCAGGTGAGCCTTATGCTCATTTGCCTCCTCGCCTATAAAAAAATTGATAACAATTTTTTGTCCATATTTGAAAGAATAAACAAATTTTATATTTTAATGCCATTATATGGTGTTAGGTGTAGGGCGTTTAAAACACTTTTCAGCGTTATGGGATTTTTGTATTTTTTTTAAAACTGGCTTTACGGTTCTGGGTTCTAGCCGTTCTGAGCCTGAAGTTACAATGTATAATTAACGTTCAAAGTACACTGCTTCACAGTTTGTTAATGCGTCAAATTGTACAGCCCTTGGGAGATTTTGACGGCAACTTGAGCCAGCAGCCAGCTGACAGTTGGCAATGAATGGTATCTCAAGACAGACACCTTATCTTGAGAATCACATCAACATCAGAGTATTTGTTTCACCGTTTAATAGTTTACTTGTGTAGACACTACACAAAATCGCACCACTTTTACATATCAAAGTCCACTTCAAACCATTATTTATACAATAATAGAGGAGCAGCAAACCGCCACCGGCAGATTCCCGCCATAACTCCGGTATTTTTGTAAAAGTAAGAGTGACCAAAGAGCACACAAACTAGACACTAGGCACTATAGACACCTACATTTATTCTCGATTACTCTAAGGAATAAGATGGAATGCCTCGTTACTGATAAAACGGATCTCCGGTAAAAATGCATGTAGATGTAACCTCAGACAGATGGCGGAATAAATAATTCCATATTATGACAGACACCCATAAGCAAGACTAGCGATAAGGAGCAGCGCAGCTTTAAGAATGCAAGATTAGTGTTCTGGTATTCCACTAAAAGAAAGAATGAAATTTACGAAAATATAATGCTATTTACACAACAATATAAGTACTATTTAAAAAAAAACTGATATACTTTTTGTAAATACTAGGATCAGACACAATAAGCTTGTTATACCAAATTGACTAGACAGAATCAGTAATTATTTTATGGGATAAAGTATTTATATTTGTATAAAAAAAATCCTAAAATATATATACAGTTTGTTTTTTTTTTTTTTTTTTTTTTTTTTTTTTTATAGGATAAGGGTGACAAACGAGCACACAGTCCACCTGATGGTAAGTGGTTGCTGCGGCCCATAGACATCTACATCTATCCTCTGTTATAAATCAAAATGTAGATGCGTTGTCACCCGTGAGGACTAAGATGGAATGCCTCATTTCCAGTAAAAAGGGCCTCCGGCCACCTGCACTCACCAAGCGAAACGCAGAGGTAAACCTCTACTTCACGCTGGTTTTCTGTGAGGTCGTGGTACTACCCCGGTTCGAGCCGGCCTATCCGTGCGACAATAAAAGCTGCCGCGTGGCTCTACCACTGTTGTCTGTTGCTAAGTTGAAAATAAAATATGTTAAAAGAACCCATGGGAATGAAGTGATCGTTACTAAGCTATTTCTTATTAAAAAGTCTTGCTAGGGTTTATTTGTGATGATAGTTGTTTTTCCCAGGACAGATGCATTTTCCTAACCAGATATTAAACTTAAAAATGACTTACAATAAGTATTATTTGCATATAATATTTATTGAGTGCTACAGCATCCACTAATCATCAGGTTCTTTTTTTACCCATACTTCTATAAAAATTAAGCAGTAAAATTGTGTGCTTTGAAATAGTTCCACGAAAGAAACGATTACTGAGTACATAAGTCTATTTCACCCTCCTATATGAGTGAGGCCCATGTCCGGCATCGGTTTGTTTACCTATGGGCTGATGAGATAAGAAAATAGTAAAGATTTCAACCGTATTAGAAACACAAAATTAGGTTTTGCTCATAAATTCTAGTATTAGGTACTTACCTATAAAAATATGAAATTTAATATATGTCACCATCGTGAATAATCCGCCTAATGACAGTTTGTTCTATTTTACGTAATGATTTATCACACAACATCGCATCGTAGGAAAAACGAAGCATTCGCGTTGCATCGTCAGTGTTCGTATGTTAGTCCTCGGTCCACGGCACTCGACTATTCAGGTAATTCAATTTAACCTGACTTTGCGACTTCACGGTGCGTAGATTGTAAACAACTAAATTTAATTGTCATATCAATGTCAGTTTTTAACCAAAATGCATAAAAATTGTGAAAATTCGTGAAAAATTAACTATGAAATTCAATAGTAGTGAAATTATTGTTTATTTTTCGGTTTTCAGCAGAATCAAAATAAAATGCAGAATATAAATGTTGAAACCGCTGCACTAAGGTACTTCTAAATAAATATGGATGGATTATCAACATTAGAAGAAGAATCAACAACTGAACATGCTATTGCTGGACCATCTAAAGGTACTACTTTATTTAGTTATTATACAAAGCTTGTGTAGGTAAATATAATATAAAAATATAAAATAAAAACATGCTTCACTGAGGTAGGCACGTCGTTTCTATTAATTCCCCTATTTATATTTTTTGCTTTGAATCATTATTCTGCCATCATTAATCTTTAATTTAGTGATGATATATTTTATTTTGCTTTCACCACAAATGTAAATATGTATAATATAAAAAGTTAAGTGTACCTAAGTAGTATAATAGTAGTGATAACATTTTTAGTACCGCGCAGTCTCTTGTAACATAAATAAATACAATATGTTTGTAAAATTAAAAATTTTAAATTTCGATTTTTTCGGTTTTTAACTTGAATTCATAGATTTTGTATAATAGTTAGGGCTTAGGGCTACGAACTAATGTGAATTATAAAGGTAAGAGCATTCTTTTACTTTAAATATCTTGCGTCTTTGTAACGCGACGTGCTAAATAACTTGAAATACAATATAAATCAATCAATGTACTATTACCAAAATATATTTATATTGGTCTAGCTAATTGTTTACAAAGTAACATAAATAATATGTCAATAAACTAATTAAAACAAATAAGCATTTCCAAACAACTTTTCGTGTTCATCTGTATTGTATCCTCATTTTCGAACTCACTCGATCGGCTATCAGCCAACCCTACGCGCGTCGCGCGCTCACTTCGACCGACCGCCCGGCGAGCGAATAGAAGGAGCGAGGCGCGAACGCGAACGCGCGGCAGTTTCAGAACGTCAGCGAATGACGCATGTCTTATCGGTGATTTCGGAACGCCACCGTCTCGTTCTCTTCGACAGTTGCGAGTTTCGCGCTCATGGAAGAAGAGTTGTTTGTTCGATTATCGGTTTAAATAATACCAGTGAAAGTGAGGACAATAACTGTTAAATTTAAGCAATTTATGTGGTTATAATTCCGAATTTGTGGATAAAACCCGGATTGCAAATGGAATCGATCAGAGGTAAACGTTTTCCCTTACATAACCTCTCTTGTAACATATGTTTATAAATTGGAGCGAGGGCGACGTCATTTTTATCAAGTTGAAAATTATTGACGTAGACAATCTTAAGTCTTGGTTCAAATTTTTAGTTTGTTTTTCGCTTCATGCACCAATAATGTCTTTAAATCCAGAACAAGTAATATTATTTGACGAGTTCATTTGAGGAAAATCAGAAGGAAAATCAAAAGAATTCGTGATGTTTCAATCTACCATTACAAATAAAGGAATGTACCTTTCACCGTAATTACAAAAGAAACGTTTAGAATTTTATTGTTATTTGTTATACCTATTCCATGCAAAGATATAGATGTATTTTGTAGGTAGTAGGACGAAAATTATCCTATAAATTACAGTACATATACATATTTAGTAATCAAGAATTTGTTAACCACTTACTGTAGCAGTTATCAAGAAAAACAATAATCATAATAATATTAAAATGATACCAAACCACACCTTACCAATACTACTATTGTGTGCTTGAAATCCTAATACAATAAGTATTATGATGTCAAAATACAAATTACTTTATGGATGAAGAACTACATTTTAATTTCTTTATACATCGGGTATTATTAAATTATTTCAATTTCAACAAATAATCCAAAAATAACAGCTTATTAATGGAAAAATCTGAACACGAAATGTTCCTTAGATTCACCTTAAATAGAAAATAATAGCTACTACGTAAGAAATAATTAATTAATTGGTTTTTACAAACTTCCATGAATTTGATATCATCGTGATAGAAGTATTAAATTATGTTGACAATTTTTTTGAAGAATTTAACCTGTTAATAATATATCTCATAACTTAAAATATATTATGCTTATTCTTTTTAAGTGTAATTTCTGCTATAGTAAAGTTTGTTAAAATGGTTCTAAAGTCTAAACTGTAATGTCAAATACTGGCCTTGCACAAATGTTCTACCCAATAGTGCCTCTTGATTAGTGCCATGACCTTACAAATATAGAGTAGCACGTTTGATATTAGTTACATTAAGTTAAATACAAAAAATATTTCAAACAATGGATAATAGCTTATTACAACTTGCTACACAGTCTTTGTATTAAGTTGAGAACCATAGAATTTTGTTGCATATTTACTTACATTGAGTATTCCTGTATATTTACTTACATTGTTAGTTTAAGTGATATTGTTGATTAAGCTTTGTCTATTATTTGCCTCCTTTATTCATCCATGGAGACTTTTCCTCATTCAGTGATATGGCTATTTTGTGACTACTAGCGCCATCTGTTGTATGTATATATTAAACCAATATTTGAACATTTCAATTTGTTTTATAGGTACATAAAACATTGCTGGTTTTTCTGCTTGATATTATGTATTACATACTGAGTATTTTAGGACAACTCTGAAAGCCTAGAAGACACAAAACCCTCTGAGTTATTGGATTATATTTCTATCACTAGTCTAGGGTATTCATAGGCGTTTTTTTCTTTGCCCATATTTATTATAGTGTGTGGTGTAGATAGATTTGCTTTTTATTCACCACAATAGTAAAAATATCTATAAAATACTTGTAAAAAAATATGGTGTTTGCTTGCAACACATTCTAAGGCATGTATCATTGTTAGCAATTATGATTATATATTGTTGTAGCAGGTTCTTTTAATACTTATTGTTATGGTTCTTCTCTAGGGTTCTGTTGTTACAGAGTAAGGGTCCCTTTTTAATTCCATCTGTCTGTCCCTATTCATGTGTTACAGCAACAGGCTTTTGAAAATGTTGATAGAGGCTCAATAAGTATAAGATGAAGGTTGCATTAGATAAGCATTTTAATATAAGGGTTCATATAAACTATTTCTAGCACTAAGTAACCTTTAATTTCGAAAACTTAGCTTCATATAATTCTCAATATGTTAATTATTAAAAACCTTATTTTATAAGTGCAAATAAAATACCTGTGGCATAATTCCAGTTAATAAAGTTTCCTTGCCTTATATTTCAACCAACTCTCAACACACTAAGCCATTTAAAGGTGAACACACATTTATCAGCACCGTACGCGCCGCATTTACTGACGGCTTCGCACATTACGCGCCGTACACGCCGTACGCAAATCTTTAGTATTGCCAACATCTTTGCAGTTTTTTCTAATCACTGGCCTGAAACGGTTCAGTGACATTGATTGCTCGGAATCGCTCAGATCACTATGGAAAAAAGATCTTGTAAGCCTGCTTATTGGCAGAGGAAGTAGAAAATAAAATTCCAAGAAAAAGAAGATTCTGGATTCACAATATTAATTTAAAAAGGCAGTAGTATTGAGAATATTATCCGTTATATAAAGGCTTATATGATGGATCATCTTACGCATGTCTTGTCTGACGACACATGGTTGAATAAACAGTACAAGTAAATACTTCTGAAATGAAGTAAAATATATTTCGAAAGGTGTAAGTAGGTTAATGGTGGAGTGATCATCTTGCCACTACTTAAGCCTTATTCTACTGAACAACTAGATAAACACTAGACACTGTAAACAATATTTCTCCATTTGAAGGGTAGTCGAATCCACCAGTTTTTGTGGGAAATCCACAAAGTTGGCAACATTCGGCAACACTGAGTATCAGCACTCGCAGAACGAGTCTCATTATAATATGACGTCGTCAGCATGCAGGCTTAGCTTTCCATTGACGTCCGTCGAGTTGGGTGTTGATACGCATTTTTACAGAAAAGTTACACTATTATAAGCACACACACAAAGTTTCAACATGCGGAAACGCGTAATTTTTGAGAAAAAAATTATTGAAAATCAATTATTCTTGCAATGTTTATATCTAATTCTACTGTAAAACTGGCGCCATTTTGTAATGTCATTGTCGACGTCAATAGGGATGTCGATTCTTTCTGAAAAAGGTCGATTTTTAAATCGATTCAAATCGTGAGCTGATGTATCGGTTCACAAAAAATCGATTTCTAAAATATCTATATTTTTTTAATGTTTCTATTTATAATGTAAATATAAACCCATTTTATTAAAAACAAGAAAGATAGGGGGGTATTTGCCATAGTTGCCACGCTTGGCGAGCCATATAGCTCGAAGAACCGACAACCGATGGGGTAGAAAGGTACTCGAGTGGCAGCCTCGTACCGGTAGGCGAAGTGTAGGGCGTCCCCCCACGAGATGGAGTGACGACCTGGTAAGACATGCAGGAAGTCGATGGATGCAGGTGGCTCAGGACCGTGCTTTGTGGCATTCTTTGGGGGAGGCCTATGTTCAGCAGTGGACTTGTGAAGGGCTGTAATGATGATAATGATGATGATGAAGAAAGATACCATGATAAATGATCTCTTATTGAAATTTGTTTTATTTAACAGTACCTATTAGGGCAGATAACAAATAAAATAGGTTAGGTTCAACTTATGTCAAAAAATCGAATTGATTGACCCCGACTCCACCTGGTACGAGTAGGGGTAGGACAGCCCCTAGAGTGGTTTTATAGAGTCGGAGGCGCGTAGGGGGAGCAGCCTCCGCCTGCTGTAACAAATCGTAGGCATCGGACGAGCCGGAGCGGCTGAGCCGAAGCTGCGGAGGCAAGGAGGGATGCCTGCGATTTGTTACGCTAAGGCGTAGAGGCTGCTCTTCCCGCAGCGCCGGAGACGTAGCAGTCTCAAAATAGATACAGAAATCCTTCTGAATCAGTCCCCTTATTTTTTTTTATGACGAAAGGAATTTTTTTCTCATAAAATGGATTTATATTTACATTATAAATGCAAACATGAAAAAAATATACATATTTTAGAAATCGATTTTTTGGGAATCGGTACATCAGCTTACAATTTGAATCTATTTAAAAACTCGATCTTTTTCGGAAAGAATCGACATCCCTACAGACAATAATAATAAAAAATGGCTTCAATTTCATAGTAGGTAGGAATTGACATAAATATTGCAAAAATATTTGATTTTCAATACTTTTCTCTCAAAAAGTACATGTTTCCGCATATTG